CTTCCCTTTGATGTTTGAACTTCCTCGGGTTTGTTATTAAGTCTTTCTTCTGCTTCTTCTTCTTTCCATCTTTCTTTTTTCTTCTTCTTCTTATTTTTTGCTTGCATTGCTATTAGCTACACCTATTCTTCTTCTTGGTTTTTGTTGGTTTTCTATATGGAAAGCCTGTATTGGAACATCCATATCGTCCTGCTTAGAGACCAGAATGTTGATCCGTTTTTGGGGTTGGAAAGAAGACTCTCTCAGCTTTCCAATGGTATATAGCATGTCTTCAGAAGATAAGTATTTTGGCAGGAAATCTTGACAGAAGTTGGACTACCGCTGGAGAAACTTAAAATTTTGGCTAAGTATGAAACTGTAAGTTGGACTGCCGCTGGACAATAACTCTATAGGTACATTGCCGCTAGAAAACAACTCAAACATATATATTACCACTTGAGACTTGGTAAACCCTAAAAGACTTGTAAGGCTATGATATAAAGCTTATTATGAGTTGGAAAACCTAATTTTTTATGTGAGAGAGATTGTGAGAAACCATTAGAGAGTTTGAGAGAACTTCTGTGAGGAAGAACGCTTGGGTTTCTTCGTGAAGGCTTGTATAATCGTGTCTACAATCTCCATTGTTATTCCGTTGTGCACAACAATTGGTATCAAAGCATATGTTAGAGCTTTGTGTTTGGTAATTGTTTTTGGTGTATGATAATTGGTGGAAAGATGTCAGAAAATCAAAATTCGAAGAATTCGAAAGGGGAAATCAAAACAATGGTTTTCCATCAAGCAAAGATTGATGTAGAAAAGTTTACTGGCACCAATAACTTCGGTATGTGGAGGTGTAAAGTAATAGATGTTTTATGTCAACAAGACATAGAAGATGTTCTCGAGGATAAATACCTTGTGATGAATGGGACTTCTTCAAACAAGATTTGGCTAAAAATAAACAAGCAACCACACAAGACACAAGATTTACGTGGTTCGGTAGCGTACGTCTATGGGGAGAAAATATGATGTTTTTTTTTATAGAAACGATTATACAAGCCCTCACGAAGAAATCAAAGTGTTCTTCCTCACAAAAGTTCGCTCAAACTCTCAAGTGGCTTCTCACAAACTCTCAAGTGGCTTCTCACAATCTCTCTCACATAAAAGTTAAGTTTTCCAACTCATAATAGGCTATATATCATAGCCTTACAAGTCTTTTAGGGTTTACCAAGTCTTGGGGCCATCAACACTCGACATACGGACTTGCCAGAGTCTCCAAAGCGGCAATATACTTGTTTAACTGTTTTCCAGCAGCAATGTATTTGTAGAGCTGCTATACAGTGGCAGTTCAACTTGTAGTTCCATACTTGGCCAAAATTTGAAGTCTGTCAGATTTCTCCAGCGGCAATCCAACTTCTGTCAAGATTTCCCGCCAAAATACTTATCTTCTGAAGACGTGCTATGTATATACTATTAGAAAGCTTAGAGTCTTCTTTCCAGCCAAAAAAAACGGATGATCTTTGAGTAGAAAGATATGGTTGTTCTAATACATGTTGTCCATATGAAAAACCAACAATTCAAGATATGATTGTCTCTATAAGAAAAACATTATCCTTTCTCCCCGTGGACGTATGCATATTGCCGAACCACATAATCTTGCGTGGTTGCTTGTTTATTTTTTGCTTTCTATATTGTTTTCTACATACTACAATCGCCATTATTATTCCTATTTGTTTCCACTGTGCGCAACAGTTTTCTAATCCCCTTTTGTTAATATTCTCTTCCTTTTTGGGATGCCGTCTGAAATCGCACCCTGGACCTCTCGCTTTTGAAGCGACAGCTCTACCATTGAGCTACATCTCAATTGTAGAATAGAAGTATAAACATTAATATTGATAGGTATACATTGTTATCGTTTATTATTGTCTACTATGTGCAGACGTATTTATATTATAAAAAAAAACCTTTTTAGTGAAATATCAGAAACTCCCGAATATTCCCCAATCGAATAACATTCATCTCGGTCCTAGACTGTGATAGAACCGAAAAAACGAATTAACTGCCCAGGTATGGCTATAATATTACTTTTTTGTGAAGAAAGAGTTGAGTGCAACTTTGGTTTTTTGTGAAAAAGGAGGAAAGTATGAAACTTCAAGAATGAAGCACTCACGAGGTTATTGCCCACACAAATCTCTTTTCAGAAAAGCCATCACTCAAATAATTATTGATGGAGTATACACTAGGTTTCTCCCTTGAAAAACTCAGTCTCACCACAGTTACACTTGCCTTTTGCTTAACAGAAACTAATTGATTTTATATCTATGGGCTTCTAGAAACCAGCATTTACTGGGTTATGGGCTTAGCTACACTTCTATACTATACTGTTGTTGTCCATGACTAAGCCATCACAGTCAGTTTGCTTTATTACATGTCTCAAACGGAGCTACGGTTAGTAAGTTATAGTTTTTAGAAGATTAACCACGCCTCAAACAGAGGTGCACTGCTTAGGCCGCTATCCTGCTGGACTAGGGAAGGGACACCCAACTTCCAACAAAACATACATGAGAGAGGAATATCTACGTGGAACTTAGACATCCTACTAGGTTGCCTCCCATTGTCCGTCAATTTTTCGCCAGCCTCCGTCTTATAAGTACTATTGTTCTGTTAGCAAGACACTAAAGAAGGCAATGGTCGTGCATGTAGCTTATATAGAACCAAAGATGTCTATTCACGGAGCATCATTACTCCTCATTTAGTTCCATTTATGTCAAATATCATACAAAGGTTAGGGTAGTTCAAGTTATGAGGATGGCTAGTATACTTCAAGGTTATTTAGATGGTCTGGATCATGCTTATTCATGCCTATTTTTCTTGTGCAAATTTCTCTCCCAAGTTAAATGCTTTGCTAATATAGAATTTTGTTACAAATATAACTTTCAGGTTGAAGAGATAGTAAAACACACTGAGAGAGGGGATCCTGTTAAAAGATTGAGGAAGAAGGTGGTTGTATCTCACTGTGATGTAATTGGGGATAGATTTTGGAAGGATCACCCATGGATTCTTGATGAGTAGGTTTCTCATAAGGACAAAAAAGCTGCCTGTTCCTGATCTGTGGCTTCTAATTGAGCAGATGCATGTGGTGGCAATCTTCTATTCTTTGGTTGATGGATTATACTTAATTCAACACAATTCCATAGGAAGATGGAGAGTCCATAACTGGACAAAAAAGCTTGCTCTATTGGTGTTTGGCTATGGAAACGAGGGAAGCAAGCTCTTTGTAATGTTTGTCAGTTTGTGTTTCAACTCGCAAGCACTATAATGCAGTCTTTTATATATTGAAAATGTTGAAACAAAACCCCTTCATTAATTTAGTGTGTTCCATTGCTCAAGCGAAATTTTATTTGGTAAAAACACCTGTTGAGAAGAGAAATCTTACAAAGTTCTCTAAGTTGGTAAAACCCTTCAGTTATTATAACTAAGAGACCTCTTGAAAATATCTATGAACCTTCTCTTGGGATTATGATTAGTACGCAGGCAATATATCAGATTATAAACCCTAAAGAGGAAGCGAGGAATTATAAATTTATAATAATAGGCCATTCAACTCTTCTCTGCACCAGCGACACAATGCTCTTAAAGATATTTGCATTGCCAGTCAAAATCTGATAGAATATGTAATTAAGATTAAATTAACCTTTGCTACTAAGTAAATTCAACAGTGTCATCAAATACAATCCAGCTTTTTCCTGGCTATGGAATTGATAGACCTGCTTAGATTCATGTATGTTAAAGATGTATTTATGGGATTAGAAATTTAGAAAGCATTGAGCTCTTGCTCAACACTTCGCTGTCCTCCAAAGGGGCGGAAACACTTTTTCCTGCTTCAGGAGATTAGTAACACTGGTTAAAGCAGAAGAAGAATCCCCTTGGCTTGTTTTCCATATTTGTCTTAGGAGTTTCCCCCAAGTCTTCGCATGTCACTGCCATCAATGAGCTTGTACCTGGAGATTCTGGTGAAAAAATTGTGTTCTCTGAAGTAAAGACATGAGATGGGATCATTGGTTTTGGTGGTTTTAGCTTAAAGAGATACTCTTGGAGCATCTGTATAATTTGGTTAAAGTTCGGTCTCGCATTTGGATCCTCCTTCCAGCATGAAGTTAGAATAAAGGCCAAGTCCTCAGGGAGGTCTTCTGAGCTGGGCCTCACATTCTGAAACACAAAAGATAAATGTTGAAACCATTAAAAGCTACGCTATGGATAACCAACAAAGACATGGTGAAACCACAGATGAAGTTACAACTCATATCCACATTGGATATGTGCAAGGTTTCCATGATTGACGCCCGATAGAGACTTTACAGGATGATCCTTATCTTTTTTAAATGTGTAACTTTATTGGATGACCTCATTACCTTAATATGAATATGTATCTGATGTAAGAGATATTCACAATATCCATTCCTGCATCAGTTTCTGCATGAGATGATGATAGTGTACTCTTGAAGGATGAATCCTGACACAATCACCTATATTTCATATATTTCTAAAACAGAGATGTATCTGAGCATACATCTTGCTCAGAGACGTCTCTGAGCATAGAGATTGATATTAGGTTCGCTACACTGAGTTTTGAAATTTTAACGAGAGACTTTGTCTAGGTCGAACCTATTGTGGTCACACACATTGTAACATGTAAAATACCCCTTAATCCTTATATTCTTTTCTTAATAGAAACACATCTCGTCTTAAAAAAATCTCACTTTAGAACCTCAGGCTGGATACTTACTTTAAATGCAGCTGCATAAGCTGCCTGTAGGTTGGACATGCCTTCAAATGGTAATTTGTTGTGTATGAGTTCCCACAAAACGATTGCAAAACTGTATGCATCCACCTTGTGGTTGTAATGCTTCTTCTCGCCATGCCTCAGTGTGACAGTGCTGTACAACTGCCATGAAATCAGATGAAACAATAATAGTACTCAGAAGTTTTTATAAAGTACATGAAACTAGATGATCAATGAAACAACTGCCATGAAAGTTTTTATGAAGTACATAAAGCAACTTCCACGAAAAAGATGAATCATTGTACCTCTGGAGCCATCCACCGGTAGGTTCCCGTTTCTGCAGTCATCATCTCTGTTAACGACTCTTCTCTTGCCAAGCCAAAGTCCACTAGTTTGACAGTTTTGTGGTCAGCAGTCAAGATCAAGTTATCTACGAAAACAGCATACAGTCGTCAATATTATGAGAATATAATAGTTAAATAGTAATGAAACAAACACACACATGTAAGAATGTGAGTATCACAGCCTTTTTGGTCGAGATATTGATTTGAAGGTTTCAATCATGTAAGAGTTGTGTTGGTGATGGACTGACGTGTGCTTGCCGGTTGGTTTAAGAAGGACTCAAGTAAAGAACGCAACGTCTGATCAAGTGTCTAGGGAACATTGTGTAGAGATTCTACTCCAGCTTATCAGTGAAGGACAAAAATGTGTTATTTTTGTCGAATATGTTAACACAAGAACACCCACTTCAAATTTTTGGTTTTGGGCATCTTGTACTCCATCACCAAGGATCAAGATTTTATTATCTTAGAAAGTCACTGGGAACAGCAAAAATGATACTAACCTTATGGTTGTTGTCTAATAAAGTCATCTAGTAAGATACAAATTCAATCTACAGGTCTCATCGAAAACATATGACTTTCGGTCCCTGACAGCTGACGCTAATGAACAAAACTACTTAATTATATCAAGTTTTTAACGGAAAAAGAAGAAAAAAAAAAGAGATAACAAGAAGGCTTCAGATTTGGTGGATGATCCTACAATTAGCTCTTCCATGTCCAAACCAATAATCAGAACTTCTTATCCAACCCTTTACATTTCTTAATATGAATAAATTTAAATCAGATGAACTAGCTAGAGAAAAATAATACCAGGCTTCAGATCACGATGGATGATCCCATGTGAGTGCAAGCACCCTATAGCTCGAGCAATGTCAAGTGCAAAACCAGCAGCTACACGTGTATCCAAAGACCTTGGCCTTAAACTCAATAAATATTTACGCAATGAACCACCGGATAACAGCTCGGTGACTACCACCATGACAGGTTCCTTACAAGCTCCAATAAACTGCCAGTACACAATCACATTTATTAGCATAAGGAGAACGACTTTTAACAAGTACTGATTAGTGATTTTCCAAACAAAAAGCTAGGATCCAAACTACCAACCTTCACTAAGTTCTTGTGTTGAACTCTAGATAACATTGCAACTTCTCTTGCAAATCGTCCTTCTCGCTTAGCAATATCCTCTGGCGAGTCTCCTCTATGAACAATTTTAATAGCAACATTCTGATTTTTATATCTGAGGAACAACCAATAAACATAATCAGTGAGTAAACTACTAAGTACTAAACAATCCCTAAAACCATATGAAAACCAATTCAATATAGTGAACAACTTCTGTAGTCCTATTTATATAGGTTAACAATTATATTGCAAAGATTAACAAGAGGGCCTTGCTTGCTATCCTCTTACATATGAAATTGGTCAGAATCTGAAACAATTTGATCAAATAGTTTGGATCATCTTAACCTTTACCAATATGAATTGCAACTTTGCTTAAAAAAATCAAATCAGAAAACTTGTTGCAGACTTACTTTCCCTCATATACTTTAGCATGAGCTCCTTCTCCAATCCTTGGTCCAACAAAAAGATGCTTTGGATCAATTAACCATTTTGAGTCCAATTTAAAGTCAGAACTATCAACTGAGTAAAACCCATTAACAGAATCCATTTTCTCTTTTCTAAAACAAGAAAGTATTTAAAGAAACTCTTGTCAATTATCTATCCATTTATAGTAA